TTCTCACTGTAGAACGATGGACTTTAAATTGCCTGGAAATGGCCTTGTAGGCCTTCCCAGATTGATGGGCAGCAACAATTACTTCTCTACAATCATTGTTGATGAGTTTCTTCCTTGGCATTGTGTTAATACACACCCAAATGCTCCAAATCAGGAAACTGCTAAAACTTCAGCTTTTATAAAGGCGGTCATACTTGCTGGTGATCAGTTACTCAAGGGCATTTTGTTAGCAGCACCTGGCTGCTACTTAGCCTCTTAATTCCTATGGATGTATTTAGTTTTACACACATGGCTTCTCTATTTTGGCTTCATCTTTGTAAAATAAATGACAGGGTGCAACATGCCCTGTGTTGCTGTTCATCTGAGGTTGTATTTATCTAATTTTCAGACCTGCTACAGACCAGGTTGTTTTCATTATATCCTGATATGTAACACCATAGAATTGAAGGAGGGTGTATTTCCCACACACACACACACACACACATAACTGTATATACTTGTACTGTATATTCTGGATTACACTCCATGAATCTGATGAAGGGACTACAGTGCACAGAAACTTATGCCACAATAAACTAGCTAAGGTGTCACAAGAGTCTTTGTTGCTTACTCTACAAAAGACCAACATGGCTCTGCCTCTGGATCTGATTTAGAAAATTACTATAAACCCTTTTATATACTTATATACTTAAACACTTATATACTTATATACAAATACTTATTTGTATCACCAATTATTCTGGTACTAATGCCCTTTTGTTGTATGCTCTGGTAATTTGTAGACTGTCTTGAGTAGTGTTTCCACTAAAGGGGTGGTTTAAAAAAATCAATCAATGATTAAAATTCTACTCAGTTCTTACTGCTGAAATTTATTGATAGGACAACATTTTTATATAGGGAACTTTAGACAATGCAACAATGCATTTTAATCATATCCATCATGATTCAACATCATTCAACTGCATTATGAATTCTTTAAAGCACATTATTTATGTTCTCATTCATCTCTGTGTTACAATGTGTAGCCATCTATGCCTCCATTGGGTGCACTTTTTAATGCTGCCTCTCATGCTTACTGCAACTTGATTGCTTACTGCATGTTTACTGACTGCTCCATTTTGTGCATATGGACTATAGTCCCTTGCAGGCTGAACAGGTGGTTTCAAGACTGTGGCCACCGCACACTGGCATATTATGGTAGCACACTACATTATTAATTCAAATGAAACTTGCCTTCCTATAATTAGTGCATATGATAAGATGCAATTGTGGAGCAAATATAGGTTAAGTGTTGACTGAAGTACTACAGTCATCCTGTTGCACTTTTACTTGAAAGTTCATTACAAAAATAAGGTAAAATGGGCTCCTTCTTTCATTCTGACTGCACAGTCATAAAAGGCCGATTGTTCAAGCTATCAAATTCAATTATTTTGTCTCTGATGCTATCTACTTGTAAGAAAACATAGGCTTTCTTTCAGGGTCTTTCAGCAATTTTCCATGCTGCTCTTCAGAGGAAAGACACGGAACGAAAATAAGACTCTTGCAGACTCACCAACTCTTCGAGATATAACGAAGCTAATATAATTTAGCTAAGTGGTAGGAAGGATTTCCGTAGATGTTGGCTGCTAAATTAACTTCTGTAATGTATTGGATCTTCTGGAATTAATTTTTGCAAGATTTTGTCTCCTGGTGGTGGAGACCCTGTAAATTAAGAATGCTTCCTGTGTGTACAGTTTGGAAGAACTGTAAAAAAGACTTAAATCATCTAGTTCTTACTGAATTTTTTCACACTAAAATTCAACACTGCCTTCTGGTTGGAAACAATTCCTGATGGAATAAATTGCTTTAATATATTTTTTGAAAGCTATATTAACCCTGGTCAGCAATTTGCTACTTGAGGGAATGAAAGGCTATGCAAAAGATATATGAAATGTCCTTATGGGGAAAAAGGACAGTTGTTTTCTTCTGAAAGCAATTTATTTCTGAAGTTGAAAAGTGAAGTGCCCTCAAAACAGAAACCCAGACTGTGGGAAATAAATTGTTCCTTCAATGGAATTTTTGAGAAGGGAGACCCCCAGACAGGTAAGCTATACAATGACAATGGAATTATAGTCTACCATTTTACTCTGTTATAAAATAAATACCACAAGTGGATCTTAGATGCTGCTTCATCTCCTATATTAAGTGCTTCACTGCATGCCAAAGCACAAGTGAGACTCATTCATGCATGACAAACAGCAGCAGTGTTTCACAGATGTCAACGGAGTCATAGCCAGCTTCTTATATACACAAAGAAAAACACTTAGCCTGTCAGCACAGCAATTATTGACAAATAAGATGCCATATCTTCATAGATGCCTGTGTGTATAGATCCCAATGCACCCAGGTGCAAATGTTTTATTTATCATGTACTAGTTTTGCTGAACTCCTATCTTTCCTCCAATGAATTTAAAGTGGTATACTTTTACTTTTACTTGTAGCATTTATATCCTGCCTTTCTTCCATTGAATTCAAAACATAAGACAGAAAGAGGGAGAATGGGAGTGACACGCCCAAGGTCACAGAGTGTGCTTGCCCAGTCTGACACTCTGCTCACTACACATTGGTCCTTACATGATTTGTACCTCTCTGCCTCAATTGCATGATGTCTAGATCAATGAAACTCAACATCAAAAAAAACTAAGATCATGGCCACTGGTCCCATCACCTCCTGGGAAATAGAAGGGGAAGGTATGGAGGCAGTGACAGATTTTACCTTCTTGGGCTCCATGATTATTGCAGATGGAGACAGCAGCCACGAAATTAAAAGACGCTTGCTTCTTGGGAGGTAAGCGATGACAAATCTTGACAGCATCTTAAAAAGCAGAGACATCACCTTGCCAACAAAAGTCCGAATAGTCAAAGCTATGGTTTTTCCTGTCGTGATGTATGGAAGTGAGAGCTGGACCATAAAGAAAGCAGACCGCTGAAGAACTGATGTCTTGGAATTGTGGTGCTGGAGGAGGCTCTTGAGAATCCCCTGGACTGCAAAGAGAACAAACCTATCCATGCTAAAGGAAATCAAACCAGAGTGCTCACTGGAAGGACAGATTCTGAAGCTGTGGCTCCAGTACTTTGGCCATCTCATGAGAATAGAAGACTCCTTGGAAAAAACCTTGATGTTGGGAAAGTGTGACGGCAAGAGGAGAAGGGGACGACTGAGGATGAGATGGCTGGACAGTGTCTGCGAAGCAACCAACATGAATTTGACACAACTCCTGGAGGCAGTGGAAGACAGGAGAGCCTGGCATGCTCTGGTCCATGGGGTCACGAAAAGTCACACACAACTAAACGATGACGACACATGTTTAGTCTATGGGTTAGCTCCTACAAGGTTCAACACATGGACATTTGGTACACTGAAGACCTGAGGCTAGTAGGCTCTACTATGATCCCTTTCTCACACATACGTAAAGCACTAGAATAATCAGAGTCTAGATTATTCCCCTTCTGGTTTATTTGTCATACCTCCATGAGCAAACAACATTTGATGAAATGGAATATCCAGTCTTCCATCTCTACGCTGAGATCACTAGAGGACTGCACCATGTGCCTTTTCAACATAGGCATGTGCAAAATTTAAGTGTTACAGCTCTTGTATCAGACTATATATAATATAATCTCATGTTTTACATATGGAGTTTTTTATTTCATCCATATGTGAAAATCATCACCAACCATAAATTGATGTCCTCAAAGTGAAGCCTAGGTTATTCACACAACTCTGTCAGGCCAATTTTGAGTGACCAGGATCCTGCTGGAAAACAAAGCTTTGCCATTCATTTCTTCCAGTGAATCCCAAATTGTATATTGGAATTAGCAGTCATACCACAATGGCTTTGGATGTGCATTTTTCATGCTGAAAGTGATGAAGTCCTTGACTGTTATATTGTCTGCCTACTTCTCCCAAGTTTGCACATTCAGGAGGCCTGCAATAAACTTTGCTTGCCCTACTCTGAAATTTCTAATACATCTGTAACAATTTTTAGTTCTCCCAAAAATATTTTAAACTCAAAATAAGTTTCCAAAATGCAATAAAGTGAAATCAAATCTGCAAATCTCTCCATAATTACCTGGGGATAAATCCCACTGAAATCAAAAGAGCAGAATTTAGAGTAAACATGTAGAGGATTGCACTGTTAATAAAGTAATATTTAAACAAGGCACTGGAGCAGCTGCCAGGTATTTTAAGCTTATAAACTGCTACCACAAATAGGTGCTCTCCCTAGACATGTAGTTCCTCCCATTGCATATTTCAAAACTCCACTAACTCGCATGTGCATCGAGCAACACTTAGCGAGTGTTTTACATCATTATTTTTGAGCTTATTTAGACAGTAATGTGATTGCTTTGTGTAACCAACTGGTTTCTGCAGTCTAGGCCTCTCTATGTTTTACCCTGAAGTAATTCCAGTTGTTTTAAGTGGGATTTACTCTCATCTGAAACAAAAAGAATTGTAGCATCTTAAAGAATACTAAGTTTTACTTGGCCCAAGTTTTTGCAGATTGCAGCTCTTTTCATCAGAACCACAAAAACTTATGCCCAAATAAAACACACTGCTTTTTTAAGCTGTGAAACTACTCTTTGTTGTTCATGTTGCTAGAGTCAAAAGCAGTGCCCCTACCCCAGGAAATTAGTTTCTGTTATGTGTGCTCAAACTGCAGCCTTAAATCACTCCATAAGTATCCAGCAAAAACAACAAAATAGCCTGGTGGCACCTTGAAGATCAGCGAAACAGCATTTGGCCTAAAGTTCAGCGGCCTGCTGCCCACTTCCAAGTTATGGGTAACAACATTTATTAGTGCTTAAGATGCCACCATACACTTTACTTGGTTGTGCTGCCACAGACTAATAGGGCTACCATCCTGAACATGGAAAGAACCACCTCAGGCGAATTTTTCCAGGGAGGAGAGGAGGGGATTTACTCCCTGGAGGAGCAAATAAAACAGAGGCACCTCTACTCTGAAGGGCTCTTTGCTTTCTCTCCACCCCCTCAAATCACCCTCTACGGACCCGGGTGTCACAGGCCGTTTCCCCTCCCTGTTCGCGTCAGTCCCCTCAACGCTGCCCCCTGGAGTCCCTCCGGCCGGGACTCCCTCCCCACAGGCGCCAAACCCGTTGGCGCCGCCGCACAAAAGCCGCCCCTTCCCCTCAAGCCATTTCCCGCGGCTACTTTGGAGCAGGTCGGCGTGCGGTGTGCGGCCCCGGGCAGTCCCCTCCGGCAACAAAGTGCCGCCAGAGCCGGCCGCTTCCAGCGGGTTGGCGGGAGGCGCGTCGCCCCGGCTGGGGCTCCTCGAGGCGGGCGGAGGGGACCCCGGAGAGGCAGCGCGGAAGGCGGCGGTCGTCCCGGCGGCTGAAGATGGAGCAGCCGCCCCGCGAGACCCACCTTCGGGAGCAGCGCCAGGAGGAGCAGGAGCGCTCGCGCTCGCACACGGTCTCCACCACCGCCAGCTCCTTCACGGCCAACCTCTCCTCCACCTCCAGCACCCTCGCCTACGACAAGGAGTTCCTGAGGACTGCGCCTGGGATCCTCATGGTGGCGGAGATTGGCGGCTGAAGATGGAGCAGCCGCCCCGCGAGACCCACCTTCGGGAGCAGCGCCAGGAGGAGCAGGAGCGCTCGCGCTCGCACACGGTCTCCACCACCGCCAGCTCCTTCACGGCCAACCTCTCCTCCACCTCCAGCACCCTCGCCTACGACAAGGAGTTCCTGAGGACTGCGCCTGGGATCCTCATGGTGGCGGAGATTGTAAGTAAGGCACTGTTTCCAGGTGGCGGGAAGGTGGCGAAGGCGGACCACGAAGTTAAGACCGGTCGAACTCCCTCGGGGACTTACTAAAACATGCGTGGGCTGGGCCAGCATTTCCCCCAAAAGGTAGCAGCCGCAACATCTCGCTTTGCTAGTGCTCAATGTAGTTTTTTTCTCCTCACGCTTTCGTGAGAATTGTTCACCTCCGCTCCCCTGAAGAGTGTAACAAGATTTCTGTGTGCTGAGACTGACCACATTCAGTAAACAATCCACTTAAGAGAACCCCAAGTCCGCACGGATTGCACAGAAAGTGAAATAAAATGCTTGATTTATCCCATGGGGAATGAAGATCTGCTAGCAGGTGTTTAAAAGTCAAGGAGGGTGTGTTTTTAGAACAATTATAATTGAAAAGTGGGGTGAGGGTGGGGATTGAGGAAGAGCTACATCGTATCTGTTCTGGAATGCCCTGATATGTGTAACTTGGAGTAGACAGCTGGGTGAGCAGAGCCAAAACAATGCTCTGTACATGACCCAGACGTAATATCATATTATTTCCAGCATTAAGACTATTCTGGGACTAAGGCTTGATACTTCTGTATCCTAGCTGAATAGCAACATGTAATCATTTGTTTCCACTGAGAAAAGAACAAGGAAATAGAATATTTGCCAAAGAGATAACCCAGTTACTTGGTTGCAGCCAAAATTCCCCCCAAAGAGCTATTGATACCTTAAGAACAGCGAATTTATTATGGTATAAATGTACTGTATAGACCAGAGCCCATGCATAAGAATTTGGTACCTTTGGGCTAAAACTTGTAATTGTAGACCAACCCATGAAGGAAGGCAGGTAGGAAGATGTTAAGCTCATGGGAACAGCTGTTTAAGGCAGTGATGGGTTGTGACTGGGAGGGAGAGGCACCCTTCTGAAATTTTGGGATGAGGGGGCTCCCCATCCTAGCCTACAACTGCCCACCATTAAAAAGATATGGACATTCCTTGTCTTCTTCTGAGAGATCTTGAGCACATGGGAGATGTATGCTGGTTTTAATCTGCCAGAGAAAAAAGTTTCTGTGTACCAGTGCTTTTCTTTCCTTCTCCTCAATTTGGGTTTTGCTTCAGTTTTGTCCTCTTCCACACACAACCCGTTTTACTGATAATTCATTCAACTCTGGTGGACTGTTTGGGCAGCTAAGAGCACGGACGGGAGGTGGAGTGGGTCCTTTTGGTGGTATAGGGTAATCAAATGATTGCTGTTGATAATGGATAACACTGGAGGCTAGAGCAGAATCCTGGTGTCAGGTGAAGGCTGAGTAATTGAAGCAGAGGGACTCCATACACTCCTGGCAGACTTTATCCCCTGTAAATGCTCCTGTTCCGGTAGTGGCTGCAATCTCCTTCTGTTAAGCTTTTGGTAGTCGAGAGGAAGAAAACTGCTCAGGAATGCAGCTATCAGCTCAGAACTCCATTCCAAGAATGTGTGCTGTAAGGGAACAGCTGGGGAGAGAGGTGGGAGTGTTGAGGTCCACTGAGCAATTCATTATCAGGGTGTGTCGTATAATGTGGCAAGTGGGATATAAGCAGCACGTTGGATACCTCCCACTATCTACCCATCTTAGATATTTTATTGTATTCATTTAAGATGCTTAATAGTAGCCTGGCTGCCTATAATTTACAACAGACACCTGAAACAGGTTGCTATCACCTTAATTAAAAACGCAAACAACAATAAAGCAGACAGTTGTAAAAGAGGGGTTAGAAATTGGATGTCTTCTTTTCTTGTTCTTTCTTTAAATAGGTGTATATGATTTGTTCCATAGAAATCAATGTTTAAAAACATTGTAAAACAAGATTTAAAACTAACCAAAAATGACTAAAACTAACAGCAGTACAATATGACAGTATCCATTAAATATGGAAGGCCTTTGAAAATAGGGAGCATCTTTGCCAGGAGTTCAAAAGACAGCAAAGACACTGGGAGGGTATTTTTTTTTAGGAAAATGTTCTACAGTTAGTAGGTCACTGTTGGAAAAGCCTTCTCTTTCATACTCAATTACTTCATGTTATTTGGCAGGTCAGTCAGGAAAGAGCTCAGAATATAAGGTTTTAGTAGAGATATTCCTGGATAGATATACATACAAGAAGGCAGGCTACTGGAACACCAGGAGGGGGGGGGAAGAGACTGATTTGGTTGCTTTGGGTATGAGATGCAAGTGTGTGGGTCTCCTCACCTGTATCCCAACAACAGAACTTCTATTGTGTTACAAATAAAGCAGAAGGGTTATTTCAGGCAACATAAATCAGGAGGCAAGGTCACACAGGAGAAGGCGGTAATTCTTAAAACTCTGGTTCTAAATAGTGCAGTAACTAAGTTACTAACAAGTAAATTTTTACCCACAGCTTGTACGGCTGTGGATCTTCAGAACTATACAACTCTGCGTTGTTGCTTGCTTTGTGTTCATAGACACTCTGATGCAATCCTGACTTTATTACTGGCTGTCTGTTTTTTCCATGGCTTTTGCAGGGCTACAGAATAATTTTACCTACTTACATACAAATTCTAAAAGGGAAGTTGTTCAGAACCTCTATGGTTTTATGTAATATGGTTGATCACAAAGGCTGAAGCACAGCATCTTCAGGATAGCAAACTGGAAGTTAGAAGGTTTAACTCAGTTTTAATATGCCAGCATCACAATTTGTGGGGAGCAATGGCTGCTCTAAACCCCAGTTTCCCCATTTATTTAGAATAAATACATGCTGTTAAAGTTGCTTATGGTGGGATTAAGAGTATAGCCACAGGAAACTACTATTGTTTCATAAGAACTCTGTGTTAAGAGTTACCCACATAGACCAGTATGTAACTGTAACAGTGCTTTCTTTCTTTCTAAAGCTCACCTCCCCCTTTCGTTGAGCAGGTTATTTACACATTCAGGGGCTTGGCACTGAAACCCTGTTTTGCAAATAACAAGGAGGTAGTTCTTGCAGTTAGCTGCCACACCTTCAGTGTGGCTTTCCGCCAAAGTTCTTACACATTATTAGAGACTGTGGGATGCTTTTTTGTTGTTGGCAAATGCTTTTAAGGTATATATTTCTGACAGCTGAATGCGTAACACCAAAACATTTTCAGTAGCAAGAAATATTTTAATTTGCAGCAATCTATTAATAGACTAAACACAAATTAAATTAGAAATTTTGAGACTACTTTCCCAAATCTCTGCTCTGTTCCAAATTATTTCACAGAATGCTGTTGTGGGTTTTTGTTGTTTTTCCCCCATTGAAAATTAATTTTAAGTGGTTAATGATTAGGGGATCTAAAACACTTTGTTCCACTTCTCTCTTTGTAAGCGCTTCATTTTACCTTTTATGAATTGGTTCTGCTTCACCGTTTGCCAGTAATGGTGTTGTAAAGGTTACTTGTTTGATTCCATATACCTTGTTATCCAGAGGGCAAAGCTAGTGTTAATTGGTGGAATGCTTAATTCTATTCCCTCCTTGTTTTTAAACAAAAGCAGCCAAAGAGGATATATGGTCATTTCAGAACTTTGCCAATAGTCTCACAGTGCAAGAACAGAGTGCTATTACAAAATGCTACAGTCCTGTATACATTCACCTGAAAATGCGTCTCCTTCAGCTTAGTGGGACTTATTTTTGAGTAAATATGCACATATGTGCACTGTAATATCTGCTACTATAAGCAAGTAACATTGACAAAGAATTCAAAGCAAGTGGATTGGTGTTTGCTTGTTGTTACTATTGCCAAAATAAGTATATGTAATAAAGACTGTAGATCATACTGCAAGTCTTAATTTTAGGCTCCAATCATATACATACTTTGGGGGGGGGAGAGACACCATTTGAACACACCATTTGAACTTAATGAGACTGCCTTCACTGTATAGAACTGTATATGGCCATAATTAGCTAATTTTGTGTCCAATGCAAGAGTATAAAAGTACACCTGCTATACTTTTATAGTAGCTATTTTGATAAAACAAGGTAAATATCAAGAAACAGGAATAAATAACACAATGCTTATTTTACCTATAAGATCTACACAGAGCAAACCAGAATCCTGTTGGGAGATTTATGCTGGTGTAAACATGATTATATAAAGCAGTGGTTCTTAACCTTGGGTTACTCAGGTGTTTTTGGACTGCAACTCCCAGAAGCCTTCACCACCAGCTGTGCTGGCTGGGGTTTCTGGGAGTTGCAGTTCAAAAACACCTGAATAACCCAAGGTTAAGAACCACTGATATAAAGCATGACAGTGAATTGTCACTAATTAACAAGTTGCTTCTGGCATTCCTGGTAGTTTAACTTGGTGTAAGATAAGAATGTGAGTGACAACTCATTAATTAGCATCAGTTCACCATTGCTATTTACACAAAGACATACCAGCAAAAATCCCCAATAGCATGCTGGCCAAATATTTTAAAATAATTGCAGTTTACTTAAATCTTGTATTTCTTCTGTCCTGTTACATATTTGCTCCCATACATCCTTTAAAGGAAAGAAGAGATAGTATTGTAGTCTAAACATTGATAAAAACTAATAATGATGTGAGCACAGAAAAGACATTTGTGGTTATTTCATTATAAACTTAAGGTTATATTTCTCTGACCTACAAGTGCCTCTTTCATGTAAATGTAAGCAAGATGACTGAATGATCAAAATCAATGTCAAAATGGCCAAAACATTCAATTTCAGTGGGGGTTGAATAATTTTGAACACAACTGTAAATGTATGATGTTTAATCTTTGATTTACACAAGTAATGTTTTCATTTTTTTAAATATACTCTCCTCCAGACAACAAGTGATGTTAACACAAGCTGCCAAATTCTGATTACATGAGCAATCTTAATTATTTCTATTTAAAAATTTTCTCTGCTGCCACAAAGCAACCTTTATTATTAAAGAGAGTGGGGAGCAGGCAGCATGGAATAATTAACAGAGACAGTTTGTTAATTCAGAAGTTTAGGTGTCTGTCGGCAGAGCCAGAGGT